CGCCTCCCTGTCCCCCCCGGCCGCCTACCAAGCACCACCACCCCTTGGGGGGCTCTGCAGCCCCCGGTGTCTCAGGCTGGGTTTGCAGCGCCCTGACTTCTTGATTTATAAAAGATCTCGGGATCCCTTCCCAACTTGTCCGAAATGCTCCTGCGTGCGGGAAATGAGTCGGTGCGGGGGTTGCCCAGCGCCAGGGGAGGGATGGGACAGGGCTCTGACCTCAGGGCAAACCTGGCAGTGAAAAGGACCGAAGTGTCCTTGGGGGCAGCCTTCAAAACGCAGGTTTAATAACATCAAAGGTGAGGTTTAGGAGTTTCTTGTCCGTCCTTCATCCCTGTTGGACTGATGGACCCCAGAGTTTCTTCTGGGAAACACTGAAGCGTCTTAGAGGGTTTACTCCTACCCGTGTGCTTGCTCAAATGAAATGCCTGGTTGGTGCATCCCAGCTGATTCCAGGGAGTACTGAATGCATCACAACTTTGAGTATTTCTCCCTGACCCTGCAGGCAGCTGCCTGAGATGAGTGTTGGGCTTCATTGTGTTCTCATCGAAGGGTTATCTCTGAACAGCTTTTCTTCTTAATTTTGTAGCAGTTGCAACACTCAACGAGATATTACAGACATTAAAATTATTTTACAGGCCATAGAAATGCTGTTTAGATAAGGGTGAAGCAATTGGAGGAGTCGATGGCAGAGGAACTGAGGACCAGATCCTTATCTGGTGTTAATAGAGCCAATTTGTACAGAGGGAATGGTTTGGTCCCAACGCTTTCCTTTTGCTATAGCAACAGCCAGAATGGCAGGTTATTAAGTTGAACCTCGTTCTTTCTAACGTGAACCTTGTTGGTGAAAGCAGTTGGGAGCTGTTAATTTCCTCAATACCAGAAAAACAAGCCGCGATTCAAGTAGCCCTGAAAACGAAACTGAAATCTGCATGGAACAAATTCTTTAATCCTTGCACAGTCCCCGGAATGGAATTGTTTAAGCTTCTGTGCTGTTAAGGGAAAAGTTGTGGGTTGTCTGCAGCAATCCCGCTGCTGGAGCTCCCCCTGCGCGGTGCGGGGTTTGTCTTGTTCTCCACGCAAACGGCCAATGGGATTAGTTCCCTTCCCTTGTCAAGGTGACCCTTTTGCTGGAGCAGCCCTAAAGCCTCTACCTTTGGCTTGCGTCTGCTTGCTGCTCCTCTTCCATTCGGAACCGCGGCACCGCTTTCCTTGCCAGCTGAGGCTCTCCCGGTGCCCGCGGGGCTCGGGGTGCGGGATCTGTGCTGCCCGGTACCCCGGCAGGGCGGCTCGGGGGGCAGGGACCCGGCAGGGTGGGCAGGGACCCGGCAGGGTGGGCAGGGACCCGGCAGGGTGGGCACTGCCCGTGCCAGGGACCCAGCCTGGGGCTGCTCAGGGTGAGGGTGCTCAGGGAGGTACCGCTGTGCCGTGGTGCTGTCTGGTGGGAAGGCACTGCCAGCTGCCAGGAAGGCTGTGATGCTGCTCTAGCTCAGAGAAGAAACTGCAGCCTTTGGGTCAAGTTTAAGGCTCGGCATTATATCTTCTTTAAAGTAAAAGCCGTGATAGCTTTGGTGCTAATTTCCTTGAAGCCGAAGGAAATGCTGGAAATGGATGTGGTGCTGAACTTTGTTGACTCTGAGACTGTCTGGTTTTATTCTACCATCTGCATTGCTATTCCTGATGTTCTGCATGACACAGTAGATTAAAATCTGTTTGTTCACACGCATTGCTAAGTGCAAGTGTGTGATAAGTGTGTGATAGACTCCCCTTCCACCCCCAGCTCTTGAGACTTAGTATTTAGCCATGAATGTTGTTCATTTATTTTTTTTCTTCTGAGTACAACTGCTTATTTTCTGCAGGCATTCCCATAGGTAAGGTCTGATTTATCTGGGCAGTGTTGTCTGCACAGACTCACATGCAAATCTGCTCCTCATTCAAGTGAAGAAAGGAAATCAGTAGTAAAACTTGTCTCAGTTTACAGAGGTGGTCTGGATCTATTAGATCAATTTGAGTTTTCCTGTCCATTTGGGGAACTTCAGGCTGCAATTCAGCAGCTGTATTGCATGATGCAGCTGCAGAGCAGGCTCTGCAAGGAGAGAAGCTTCCACTAAGCTCAAGGTAAGGTGATGCTGAGCTGTGGTTTAGGATGCCAAGTGACATGGAAATGCTGGATGATTTCAGGGTTAACCCTCACTTGATGTTTACAGTGCATTTTTGTTGCTTGATGTAGGCTCTTCAGATACATAATGTATATTAGTGTGCCCTCCTCTTATGAGTGAGAACACTTAGTGTGCTGTCACTCAGTATGCAATCAAAATAAGTGATTTCTAAACTGACTGGAGAAAGGCACTCTACAAATTCTATTTCTAAAGCAAGCAGAGTTTCTAGCAGGTGGAGGCTGCCCTTTCAGTGCATCAACATAACAGGCATCCTAATCCAAACACCATCATGTTTGCTAGCAGTTATTTACTAAACATGTATAAACCAGTTTGTCCCCTGGTTTGCTCTAACACGCTAATTTCAAGCAGCGTGTGAGTCTGAGGTCTGGAACTGCAAACTGAAATAGTTGTGTTTGCTGTGATGGTATCAATCGAGGATACAAAGTACCTCTATAAACAGACGTGAGAAACAGTGTTGCTGTGCAAGAGCAATTCATAATGTAACAATGTACTTGTCGCTTATTGACACAGTGACTTCGCTTTATTAAACATTTATTTGGAGCCCCAGTGACATTACATCTGAGGCTTCTAATTGGAATTTAGAAAGCCTAATACATTTTGATTTCATCCTGAGTGCTCTCAATTCAGGGTGTTTACATGAGTGCTGAGGACAAGCAGTGCCTGAGCTCCATGGGTGTTGTGGCTGTGGGCTCTGCTCCTCCCATTGGCCATGGGTCTGGGGGCAGAGAAAATAGCTGAGCTCAAGGTGGTGCTGGTGGAAACAGTCGTGGCTCCAAAATTAATAGTGATGCACCAAGGCTTGAATGCACCCTGCAGCAAGTAGCATGAAAACCCTGGAAAATGGGTCCTGTCAAGGCAAGGTATGTCATGGTGACTTAATTCAGCTAGGCTTAGTTTTGCCATTAGCAGGTAACTCGCCTTGTTAATGTCTGTTGCTCACACCAAGCAGCAGCCTGGCACTTGCATGCTATAGAAATGCCATTGCAGGCTTCAGTAAGTGGTCATTATGTTTTGTTATGGGTCCCTGTCAACATCCCCTGCAGCTGCTGGGAAAGGTCAAAACTTCCCTCAGCTACCACAGAAAATGGTACCAGGCCTGAAGACCCCTTTGGTATTTTTAATGTGAAAAGTAGTAATACTGTCAAGTGTTCTGTTCCCAACAAGGTTAAGATGAAGCACAGAGCTCTCCTGGCTGAGATTCCAGGGGGCCAGTGTGGGGCCATGAATGTAACACCTGGTAGTTCCATCTGACAATCATCTGAGTAACTGCTCTGGTTTTATTCCCAAATGAATAAAAACCAAACCAACACCTGCACAAGGCAGGAACCACAGCTCAAAGTGGATGCTGCTGTGCTGGACATCCTGGCTTGCATCTTCCAAGCCTCCTGCAGCTGGTGTGGGGATGTGATGGGACACTGCCAGGGAGATGGTGCTGCTGCTGAGTAGAATGATTCTGGGAAGGGTTGAAAATGTCTCTGGGATGGAGGCAAACGAGTGGAAAAATCACATCCCCAGATGGGGGTCACCTGCAATTATGTTGGAGAAACATGTTAGTCCTCTTCAGCACAGAGTTTGTTTCAGGTCTTGCAAGTTTTAGTGGATTCAGTGACTATCTGTGGGAGGAATGACTTCCTGCTTTTTGGGTGTCAGCTTGCTGGCTGGCCCTGCAAACCTGCTTGGAGCCTAAGGAGGTGACAGTGCCTGTTTCTGCTCATGGCTGTGACCTCTTCTGAATCAGGGGAATAATGATGTTTTTGTCACACTGCTGGAAGCCTCCTGTGGTCAAAGAAGTGGGGCTTTCCTGAAGATCTGCTGAGTGGACAAGAGTGTGTCCCTGGCTGTGAGTGACCCAGTGCTGCTGGGAATTCTGGAGATGGGATGAAGCCAACCTTTATCTTCCCCAGTACCACAACCTCATGTTTTAATGTGGTTTGTTCTTGACTGCAGTGGTTAGATTTAGAAATCCCAGAGATCTGGTTCTGCAGGTGCTACATGAGAACAGCATGACCTGTGGAGGAGAGTTTTTGGGGTAGATATCTCCCAAAGCTGCTACTGTGGGAATTAATTGCCAATTCACTGATAGATTAGGAAAATGGATGATGTTTTGCCACATGTACCATGGGAGTCCGCACAGTCTGCCAGTACTGGCCAAGTGGGATGGGTGTTGCTGGCTGGAGCTTTCCCTGTGTTGTTGAATCTGAGGTGAGTTTTGTTGAGACGATTGTTTTATGACTCTTCTCTTGTTTTCAACAGACGTGACATGATGAAATCAAACAGCTTTTGGTTACCTCTCATATTGCTTGGGGTCTTCCCGTCGGTCGCCAGGGGATGGATGGATGTGGATGGGAGCAGAAGGCTTTACTCGGATGCAGGGAGGTTACACCAGGAGGTACTGTACATCTGCTGCTGCAGCTACAACTCTTGTGCTTCTGTTTTTGTGCTGTGTTCAGGCTCTGTGCTGTGAGAACAGAAAACAAGTGAGGGCTTATCCATATATATTTGTATCAAACACCTGCTGAGGAGGCTAAGGAAGAAACAGTGATTGTGTACAAAATGTGGAGCAGAAACTCCAATATGTGAGTTTATTGCCACTGTGCAGGAGTGAAATTGTACATCTAGTTATTGGGGGGAGGGAGGTGTGCTGTCTTTGTCCCAAAGACTTGATGGTGTGCTTTGTCCTGGGTCTGCTGAGACCATCGAAACTGCATTGAACAAGTAAACTCGGTCCTGGCTGCTCACTGGATCATGTTTTTTTTCTCAGGTGAAACCTGAAAAAACTCCTCTTGCTCCTTGCAAAAAAGGGACTCTGAGGTAAGGGTGGTTCTGAGAGAACCAGCAGTTACTGCCCAGATGGTTCCCTCCTGACTTTTGGGTGTCAATCCCTGCAAAGCACTAAGTGATTTGAGAGAGACCCAGGGACATGGTGGCCATAGCAAGGGATGATGAACTTCCTCCAGCTGGAGGTGCCTGCTGGGGAGGTGGGATTCCTCACACATTCCTGCAGGGTGGTAATGAACTTTTCATTCTGTCCCCAAGCTTGTGGGAGTGGAGAAGCCATAGAACCTTTTTTTCAGTGCTGAAGGTAACAGTGTCAACTTCCCTTGCAGTGCTGTGGATTAAGCAGGTCCCTGTTGTGACAAGTGTCCTGTGCAGGATGTCCCAGCAGGGATGGTGGCTTTCCAGACCAGAGCTTGCAGTGTGGCTTGCTGCACAGATGTGGATAGGCTCAGACTGTCACATTTGAGTCTGAGGCATCTGAATAAGGCCATAAAAAAAATAACCAGAAATGTGGTTATCATGAAAAGAAAACTGTGAATGCTGAAACAATCTTAGTTATTTAATTAGTTCCCAATTGTCACGACTTTGTTAAATGGTTGTTCCAATGCCTGAAAGTGGGAGATTGGGGGGGAGGGAGGAACGAGAAAAGAGACTTAGGTGTTTTTTTAGCTGCCATTGCCTAGAACACTAATGTGCTGGCAGACAGTAATATTAGTCAGTGCCAGGGTGATGATGAGCCCTTGATGGATTCACACTGCAATTGGATCTGTTTAAAGCCTCAGGATTTTGTTCTAGTTGGGGAATCCCATTTCTTCCAGTCACATCCCATCTACAAATACTCACAGTTGTGTGTGTTCCTTCAATAAAGCCATTTAAGCCAATTAAAAAAGGTGCTTTTCCCTGCTCAGCAGGACTTGAAAATCGTTTCAGTGGAGCTGGAGATTCTGCAGTTCTGCCTCAGGTGCACTTTTTCCATCCTCTGCTGTGCAAAAGTGAAGAAAAACAATTGCACTCTTCACCTCCAGTGTTTTGTTCCTGTGTAGACTTGGGCACTACCCTGGCACCCTGTTAAATACATTCTTTTATCATCCCAGATCACTTTTTAAAAAAATAAATATATTTCTCATGCTTTTGCATTTTAAACCCCCTCATTTTTCACTAATGCCTGTTAGTTTTGATTTTGTTGTTACTCTGAGGAATTAATTACTGAAATGATTTACTTTAATGTAAACTGTAGTATTACTAATTGTATTATGCTACTTGAAAGACATTAATTCATTTGATCTTCCTCTAAAAAACATGAAATTATTGTAGAAATTACTTGATCTTGCTGGAGGTGGAAGGATCTAAACTAGAAATATTTGTTCAGATCTGCACAGGATTTCTAACAGGGGTGAATATTTAAATTTTTCATGCACAAAGAATGCAGCTAAAACAGCTTTGATGGCTGTAGGTTATAATGCAGATGTAAAAAATAACAGTACAGGAAGCTTGTTCCAGAAGAAATGGTGTTTATACAGTGTGGGACCAAGCACCAAGATCAATCTCTGGAAGCCCTTGAATGTGGCTTTCAGGTAGGGCAGTGAAGCTGGGGCAGCTGCTCTTTGCTTTCAAAATGTGTTTAGCTCTTTGTTTTTCAGCAAACAGCTTAGCCATGGTATGTTTTTAATCATAAAAAAAATCACATTAAATCCTTTTCTAGCAAGATCTGGCTTCATTCATTCTGGAGCTCCTTACTTGTGAGAAGTGTTTTAGTTACCAGATTCATGGTTTGTTTAATAAGTAATTCCATTACCACATGTTTCAAGCTTTGAATGACAAACGGAAAAGCTGCTGGCAATTCACCAAAATTGCTTTAGACATGCAGGAAGGGTTAATGTGTGGGTCAAATAATCTGAAGTGTGCTCTGATCTAAAATTCCTATCAACTTCATGGAAGCAAATACTTGGGTATGGGTCACTGACCTTCACTAATACTTGTTCTGATCTACATAGGAACAAGTTTACTGAATCAAAAACATTGCTTAATTTATGTTCAGATTGCTAAATCAATTTCTTCATGGTCTATGGTAGAATTATTGTCGTTGTGCTTTGCATTTGTAAAGGAAAAGTCTTCAGGCCACAGACTGAAATATACAGCCCTTCTGCATGAGAAATTAAGTCTCTAAGAGAGCAGTGATGTGTGTTTTCCTGATGCTCAGCCTTCCAACTCTCAAATTTATGGGGTGTTCCTATGAAGAGGGTTATTTTCTGAAATATTTTTAGTCCTGATCAGAATATCTAATAAACATGTGTGTGCAGTCTAAAATTCCATGGGTAGAGAACGAATGAAAATAGAAAACCTAATTGAAAAAAGGCCAATGCTCATTTTTTTAACTGAGAATCTGCCACTACCTTGTTCCCTATTAATTTTTGGAAGACACTGCTCTCACTTTGACACTGTGAAACTTTACATTGTGAGGGTGCTGCCAAGCTCTTGAAGCTTTTTGGTGTTGCTTGTGGACTTCTGTGGAGCTTAGAGGTGCAGCTTCCCAGGGCTGAGCCATGGCAGGACTAAATCCTGCTGAGTGGAGTACATGGCAAGATAACTGAACATAGAGTTCTCCTGGTCTGGGGGAGATGTTTCTGGACAGGTTTTGCCTCTGCCTTTAGCAAGGCTGATTGCATGCTAAAATTCAGAAGTGACCACATTTCACGGGCAGCTCTGTGCTGGCTTAGGTGTCTTAGAGTTGCCCATGAAGCACCAGGTGGTGTGTCCTGGGGTCACTTCTCCTTTCTTGAAAGAAATTCTCAGAAACAACTCTTGTCAGTCATTGCCATTGGTGGTGGGTGAAGGGAGCTTCCAGCACAAGTGCTGCATAAAAGACATAAACTACCTGGATCTGAAATAACTCTGGAGCTCAGATTTGAAGGATGTGGCCAGGACATTCTGATGGAAAACCAGTGGTACTACTCCACTCAAACACAATCATAGGGTGGTTAGGGTTGGAAGGGACCCTGAAGACCATCTATTTCCAACTGCCTGCTATGGGCAGGGACACCTCCCACCAACCCAGGTTGCTCCAAACCCCATCCAACCTGCCCTTAAACACTTCCAGGAATGGAGCAGCCACAGCTTCTCTTGGCAACCTGAGCCAGTGTCTCAGCATCCTCAGTGAAGATTTTCTTCCTAATGTCTAACTTAAATCTACCTTTAGTCTCTACCAGGTAATTCACACTAGAGGCTCACACTGGTTTTTCAACCTTCTGGAATGTTTTACAAAAACATCTTATTAAATATTAGCCTTTGGCAGGGATCTTCCCTTCTCCTGTTCCCTGCTTTCTGTGTGAGAGGCTGCTTTTCTGTATGTGCCAAAGCCAAGCTAGTTTTGCCACAGTTCTTGAGGCAGGTTTCTCATTTCTTCAACCCGTGGTGCAGCAGAGCAGCTCGATAGGTCTTCATCTGCTCTTCCAGCAGTGAGGCTCCCATCTGCTGCAGGGAGCTGCTCAGACACAAGTAGGCACAGCACTCTGTCTCAGGAATTACATTCTGTATTATGTTGGTGGTGGGTGAAGGGAGCTTCCAGCACAAGTGCTGCATAAAAGACACAAACTACCTGGATCTGAAATAACTCTGGAGCTCAGATTTGAAGGATGTGGCCAGGACATTCTGATGGAAAACCAGTGGTACTACTCCACTCAAACACAAACATAGGGTGGTTAGGGTTGGAAGGGACCCTGAAGACCATCTATTTCCAACTGCCTGCTATGGGCAGGGACACCTCCCACCAACCCAGGTTGCTCCAAACCCCATCCAACCTGCCCTTAAACACTTCCAGGAATGGAGCAGCCACAGCTTCTCTTGGCAACCTGAGCCAGTGTCTCAGCATCCTCAGTGAAGATTTTCTTCCTAATGTCTAACTTAAATCTACCTTTAGTCTCTACCAGGTAATTCATACTAGAGGCTCACACTGGTTTTTCAACCTTCTGGAATGTTTTACAAAAACATCTTATTAAATATTAGCCTTTGGCAGGGATCTTCCCTTCTCCTGTTCCCTGCTTTCTGTGTGAGAGGCTGCTTTTCTGTATGTGCCAAAGCCAAGCTAGTTTTGCCACAGTTCTTGAGGCAGGTTTCTCATTTCTTCAACCCGTGGTGCAGCAGAGCAGCTCGATAGGTCTTCATCTGCTCTTCCAGCAGTGAGGCTCCCATCTGCTGCAGGGAGCTGCTCAGACACAAGTAGGCACAGCACTCTGTCTCAGGAATTACATTCTGTATTATGTTTTCCAAGGCCCTGCTGGCAGGCAGCCTGCATGATATTGTCCTAGCTGGATGGTGTGAAAGCAGAGAATAATCCTGTATTGGCGCATGCATAGCTGGTTTATGCTGAGTTATTAAAGGATGTGCTTGGATGTCACTGGCTCCAGAGTCATTCCAGTGCAGAGTTGCAGGTGTCCTGTGGTCTCCTCTGAGCTACACAACCAGAGCTGCTCTGTGATCGTGCAGAAATACTTGATTGCTTTCATTTTGCTTTCATGCCATGTTCTCTTTTTTCTCCACCCTCTCTTATTTGAGAGGTCTCTTGAGAAACATGTGCACAGCCACAGGGAATGCTCTCAGGGTTCACACAAGTTC